AAAAGTTCTTTTAAGTCATCTTTCTGCTTTATGGTAAAGACCAAAGATGAAGAAAGATAATAAAAAAAACAAATTATTATGCCTAAGGAAAGGCAATTAGATTTCACTGAATTATATTACAAGAGACTACAGATCCTGTGGAAAATCACAGTTATCATTTATTTAACACTTACTATGTGGTAAACATTAAGACACTTTAGGTTAATATTAGCCTAATTAGTAGGTGGAAGAGTCATGGCTTAAACTAAGTCTGATGTCAACAACCATGCTCCACAAGAAACCATTACACTACAGTAACTTTAGAACCAACTATTACAGGGGCTCTGTACTGCCATAAAAAGAGAGGAATTTGTTCTACCTACTGCAAACACCAAAATGCTAAAGCAGTACATCATTCTAATTCCAGGCCCTTTGGTGTCCAGGATAAACTCTCTCAGCATTCTCTCTCTACCCCAGTTCTAAAGTGTAACCTAACTTCCAAATCCCGCTCTTTCCATAATTTCCTCTGATAAAGTGCTACATTAAAACAACAATGAGAGGGGCGCCTGGGTGGCTCAGTTGGTTAAGCAACTGCCTTTGGCTCAGGTCATGATCCTGGAGTCCCGGGATTGAGTCCCGCATCACCTGCATCAGGCTTCCTGCTCAGCAAGGAGCCTGCTTCTCCCTCTAACCCTCCCCCCTCTCATGTACTCTCTCTCTCTCTCATTCTCGCTCTCTCAAATAAATAAATAAATCCTTAAAAAAAAAGCAACAATGAGAAGGAGCAAAATGTACCTTCTACACCACACTTTAACTACCTGACAAAGGGATGACTAAGAAATGTGCAGAATCTTTAAAGAAGATGGATATAACATGCCTAATGGCATGCCACTCTCATTGTACCCAGCTGCATTCACCTATGCCATCTTCTAGACAAAATCAGAAAATCTACATCCTCTCAGCAATAGAAACCCTAAAAGTGTATCTTCCTTCCACAACACCCTCTCTACTGGCTAGGTTATGGAGTCAACTCTCAATCACTGAGGTTGACACAATGTTCTTCTTTAGGGAAAATATAACTTGGAGGTGGGTATCGAGACAACAACAGGAAATATTATTCAATATTTTCAATTAATATTGTGAAAAAGTGTTAACTAGTTAAAAATGATTTTATTAAGACTTTGGAACACATTATAGAACTTACAAGTAATTAAAAACTAAGACACTTTTTTGAAGTGTTTATTAAATAGTTACTACATATTCTACAAATCCCGAATATTCCTAACTCAACTACAAAACACTCAGTTAAAACATAAAGATCTGGGATTCTTTTTTTTTTTTTAAGCAGGCATGGAGCCCAATGTGGGGCTTGAACTTAGAACCCTGAGATCAAGACCTGAGCTGATATCAAGAGTTGGATGCTCAACCAACTGAACTGCCCAGGCACCTCTGAAATTATTTTTTACCAGGAAGGAATTTATATTTTAAAGATTTATTTTTTATTTATTTGACAGAGAGAGAGAGAGAGACAGCAAGAGAGGGAACACAAGCAGGGGGAGTGGGAGAGGGAGAAGCGGGCTTCCCGCTGAGCAGGGAGCTAGATGCGGGGCTTGGGGCTCGATTCCAGGACCCTGGGATCATGACCTGAGCCAAAGGCAGAAGCTTAATGACTGAACCACCCAGGCGCCCCAGGAATTTGTATTTTATAGCAACTTTTCTGTCAATTTATCTAAAGATTTTGGGTACATTCACAAGAACCTAAAATAAAATCATAGGTTTCATATATACATTACATATTTTGCTCCAAAGATAAGTGAAAAAGTTGGATCCAACGTTCAAAATATCACTTTTTTTAGCACTGACAAGTAAAAGTGGAAGGGTGTTTGTTACTCAGTGGAGGGAAAAGATAAGGAGAATACGTGTTACACTTTACATGAAAGAGTACAAATTAAAGATGACTCCTCTTCACTGTGTTCAATGACAGAATTATTACTGCTATTAGGTTATTGTGTCAGCCTCTGGAATTTTTTACTTTAAAAAAGACCCATGAAGTTCTATTTTAGAAAAGCAGGTAAAGGAAAACTCTAAAATTAACCTGAAAGGTTTATTAAGATAATAAAATCCTGTTTTAGTTTCTTTCATTAATTCACCTGTAGTTTTTTTTCCTTTAATAATGATGGCATGAAAATAGTTAACTGTAAAATATGTTGTTAAATTGTTTAAATCCAAAAAAGTTGAAATATACAGTTGTAAACTAATATGCAATATTTTTTAACATTTTTATTGCAAAAGTAAATATTTGCTATAGATAAATGAGGAAATACAGATAAGAAAAAAACCCTATAATTTCACTGTCATCCTCTTGTCTTTTTTTCTCTATTTAATTTTGAATAAACATTTACCATGGAGATGAAATGTTAGGCCCTCGAGTATTCCACCCAAAATGAACCAAGTTAATGTCCCTATGAGTACACATTTCCATTAATTGTGATTTAAAGAGACCCTATGTCGATACTCTTGTTTTCTATAACAATTTATATTTCTACTAATGCTTAAACCCAATAAAAATCTTTACAGAATTTTTAAGTACCATGAGGTAAGAATACCGATGAAAAACTAGACATGTAAGAAAAACTAAGAAAAAGATTATCATCTGAAATAACTTAATCCCTTTTGCCTCTTGAATATTTTCAGCTTTGTTCGGATTAAATTAGGGCCTGATTTGAAAACGAAGCCTGGGTATGCTAAGTGAAATAAGTCAGACAAAGACAAATACTATATGATTTCACTCATATCTGTTATCTATAAAACAAAACAAATGGATAAACAAACAAAAAGCGGAATCAGACCTATAAATACAGAGAACAAACTGATGGTTGCTAGAGGAGATGCGGGTGGGGGATGGACAAAATGTGTGAAAGGGAGTGGGGGATACAGGCTTCCAGTTATGGAATGAAGTCATGGGAATAAAAGGTACAGCGTAGGGAATATAGTCAATGGTGTTGCAATAGCTTTGCATGGTAACAGATGGTAGCTACACTTGTGAGCAAAGCATAACCATAAGAGTTGTTGAACCACTATGTTGTATACCTGAAACAAATGTTAAACATTGTGTGTCAACTACACTCAAATAAAAACAAACAAAGGCTGGGTAAATAAGGTTTATTTACAATGCCTCTTGAAAATCAGAAAGACCTGATTTTGAACTCACCTTTTTTTTTTAGCATATTGACAAATTCAAATTATGATTTAACCATCTGGAGAAAAAAAATATTTCCCATTCCCTATATGTATATCATGGAGTGGAGGGAAGAAGATGAGAATATAGGTGTGAAAATCGACTAGGAAAGAGATAAGTTTTATAAGCCTATGTTTTTAATATAAGGGTTGTCAATCTGCAAATTCAATTGTGTCAGTCAAACTAGTCAGGAAAACAAATCCAAGCCCCTGAAGACAAAGCTCTTTTCCAGCCTCTAAGAAAGGTGACCTTTTTCAGTTTAGTCTCATTTGTTATTTTACAACATTAGTCTGTGGTTTTTTCCATTATACAGTATACACAAATGAAGGCATGAAGGCAGTGATAAGGTCTAATAAGCTTGTGACATAACAAAAAGAAGTCTTTATTGCAACTATGGAGAAAAATGAAATGCCCAAATGGGCTGTAAAAGATAAGCAAGCAAACAGAACTGAGAGAGGTGACAGCAAAAAATGAATTTATCTACTGTTAACCAAATTACTATAAACTGAGTATACTCACTCTGAAGTAAAATCATCTTTAAAAATTAAAAACCCAGGAACTGACCATAAGAACTGGAAAAAAAAAAAGCTGTTATTTTTCTTCTTCCAAAATGTATCTAGTATCTCCAGGGAGCAAGGGGAATGGGAGATGGGGAAATCCACAACCTGTGGAGATAAATTTTGCCAGACAGTGGAAACTTTCAACATACCACAGGTGAAGAAAATGTAGAGCTTATTTTACAAATCACAATGTAAGAATTGACTCTTTCATTTTGAAAGAAAACAATGAAAATTAACATGACCTCAAAGCTAGGGTAAATTGGCTCATTAATAGCCAGCTAGGAAAACTACTCAGAAGGGATACTAAAGCTTAATAAATGCTTCACATTTCAAAAGGCTTCCTGAAACCAAATTAACTCAAAATGGGTAAGGCCATTGTTCAAGCATTTCTCCTACAAAGTCAAAATGAAGGAAGGTAGAAAAAGAGTCTTCCTCATTTCAAAATAAATGTATTCTTTAAATATTTTTATCAATGACCAAATCTAAGACCTATTATAGCTGAATTCTTTTTTTCCTACAACATTATCAAAGAGAAATAAGACTGTTAAATGAATAGAAAATAAAAACTACCATAATGATCCCAGTTTCTCTTCCCTTAAACTTCACAGGCAAGATCAGAAATATCTCTATCCTATGATTAAAGGGATGTTCTGAGTATGAGAAAATTAATTAATCCTAAACACTAAACATTATATGAAAGGTTTTCTGCCAGATGATGTGAAGTATAGAAGTAGAAAACGATCATTTCTCTTGAAGTAACTCTCATATTACAGGTTTAGGTAGTTATATGGATGGATAGATAGATATGTAGGTAGAGACATAGGTATATAGATGGCAATATAACTAAATGAGTCAAAAGCTAAAACTATAAAAGCAACTTTTAGAAGCAAACGTGAGAGAAAATCCTGATGAGTTTGGGGGTACTCAAAGATTTCTTATAAAGGACACAGAGGTGATAAACTGGATTGTGCCAAAATTAAACGTTTACTCTCTGAAAATACCAGTTACAAAATTGAAAAGGCAAGCTACCAAATGGGAGAACATATCCACAAAACATGTATGTATTAGATTAGACAAGATGCTGTATCCAGAATATATAAAGAGCTCTTACTACTCACCTATAAGAAAACAAAAAAGAAATGGCCTACTAAAGCATACAACATAGATGGATTGCAAATGTATAATGTTAATGAGAAAAAACCTAGATTCAAAAGGTTATATACTGGATGATTCAATCTATATGACATGAAAAAAGGTAAAATCACAGGAAAAGAAAATAGATGAGTGATTGCCAGGAACTGTGGGTAGGTTGGGGGAGGGGCCTCACTATAAAGGGGCAGCATGAGGATGTATTTTGAGGTGATGGAACTGCTCTGAATCTTGATTATGACAGTGGTTACAAGATTGTATGCTTTTATCAAAACTCATAGAATAGTACACCAAAGACAGTAAATTTTACTAAATATAAATAAAAAGAGAACTATATGAAAACTACCAAGTGATTACAATACTCAAGATACCAAAATGGTTAAAATAACTACAAATGCAGGAAACAGGGAGGAACAACTAGACCTTTCATACATTAGTGGAATGCACAATGGTACAACCACTTTGGAAAACAGGTTTTAATTTTCTTGTAAAGTTAAAAATAGACTTAGGATACAATCCAGCAATTCCATTACTTGATTATTTATCCAAGAAAATGAAAGCACATGTCCACACAAACACCTGTGGCAACGTTCATAGCAGAGGAAGTGGGGGAAAATTTGAAGACACTTTTCTCCATTCTGACTCAGTACTCAGTACTTTTCCACTCCTATTCTTTCTCTTCTTCTGCCTCTGGGCCCCTAGGTCCATAAAACTGTGAGCTTTTTCTTTGAGGCTTCTTCATCAGTGAGATGAAGTAAGCAATGAAAGACTGGACTCTAATTTTCATTTTGGCTTGTTTTAGTCGGCTACTCAGAATTAAGAGCTCAGCTGCGCTCTGGACAATACGATCATTTAAATTGGTGCAAATTATTTCTTGATGAAATTTAACATTTTTTTTTAATCTCAAGAAATAGGAATGGAAAAGCACCTCCTCAATCTGTAATGATGAAAAACTTCAAGCTAAAATAAGGGTGAAATACTAAATATCCTCCCCAAAAGACATATTGCAAAAATGGTTATCTTCTCTTAGCACTTCTATTAAACTTGTACTGGAGGTCCTAGTCAGTCCAATAAGGCAGCCAGCACAAAAAGGCATAGGAATTGAAAAGGAAAAAGTGTAACTCTCTTTTTTTTTTTTTATTTATTTATTTGAGAGACAGAATGAGATAGAGAGAGCACATGAGAGGGGGGAGGGTCAGAGGGAGAAGCAGACTCCCTGCTGAGCAGGGAGCCCGATGCGGGACTCGATCCCGGGACTCCAGGATCATGACCTGAGCCGAAGGCAGTCGCTTAACCAACTGAGCCACCCAGGCGCCCCAAAAGTGTAACTCTCTTTACTTGCCAATGTATAATTATGTACATGGAAAATACAAAGTAACTACTAGAACTAATAAATAAATTTAACAACTCTGTTCTATAACTTGATTATAGATTACCCTTACACTATTGTATGGATCTATCAAAACTCACAGAACTGTGCATAAAATCAAACCCTAGAAAAGAAAAAAGAAAAAACGAGTAATATCTTAGGATAAAAAGTTCAATATAAAAGTGAATCATATGTCTGTATCTTAGCAACAAGCAACTGAAAGTACAATTTTTAAGTAACAGCATTTACTATAAAAACAATCATATGCATAGGAAGAAAGTGAGCAAATGCTGTGCATGACTCTATGATGACCCAGTTAAAGAATATCTAAATTAATCAAGAGATGTACTGTGTTTATGGATTGGAAAAATCAGTAATTTTAAGATTTCAATCTTCCTATATTAATCCTTGGAATTGTTGCTATCCCTATCAAAAATTCAAAAGTTTTTTTTTAGCAGGAATTGACAAGATGAATCTGAAATTTATATGGGGTTAAGAAACAAAACAGATGAACAGGGGGAAAAAAGAGAGAGAGGCAAACCATAAAACAGACTCAACTACAGAGAACAAACTAGGGTTGCTGGACAGGAGGTGGGTAGGGGGATGGGTTAAATGGGTGATGAGTATTAAGGAGGGCACTTGTGATGAGCACTGGGTGTTGATCCCAAAACAAAAGACCCCACCAAAAAGGAGAATTACAGACCAATATCCCTGATGAACATGGATGCCAAAATTCTCACCAAGATACTAGCCAACAGGATCCAACAGTACATTAAAAGGATTATTCACCATGACCAAGTGGGATTTATTCCTGGGCTGCAAGGGTGGTTCAACATTTGCAAATGAATCAATGTGATACTCTACATTAATAAAAGAAAGGACCAGAACCATATGATCCACTCAATTGATGCAGAAAAAGCATTTGACAAAATACAGCATCCTTTCTTGGTTAAAACTCTCCACAGTGTAGGGACAGAGACAACATGCCTCAATATCATAAAAGCCATCTACGAAAAGTCCATAGTGAATATCACTCTCAATGGGGAAAAACTAAGAGCTTCTCCCCTGAGGTCAGGAACGTGACAGGGATGCCCACTCTCAACACTGTTGGTCAACATAGTACTAGAAATCCTAGCCTCAGCAAACAGACAACAAAAAGAAATAAAAGGCATTGAAATTGGCAAAGAAGAAGTCAAACTCCCACTCTTCACAGATGACATGATACTGTATGTGGAAAACCCAAAAGACTCCACCCCAAAATTGCCAGAACTCATACAGGAGTTCGGCAACATGGCAAGATATAGTCAATGCACAGAAATCAGCTGCACTTCTATACACTAACAATGAGACAGAAGAAAGAGAAATTAAGGAATCTATCCCATTTATAATTGCACCAAAAACCGTATGATACCTAGGAATAAATCTAACCAAAGAGGCAAAGAATCTGTACTCAGAAAACTACAGAATACTCATGAAAGAAACTGAGGAAGGCACAAAGAAATGGAAAAACGTTCCATGCTCATGGATTGGAAGAACAAATATTGTGAAAATGTCTATGGTACCCAGAGCAATCTACACATTCAATGCAATCCCTATCAAAATACCATCAACATTTTTCCACAGAGCTGGACCAAATAATCCTAAAATTTGTATGGAACCAGAAAAGACCACAAATAGCCAGAGGAATGTTGAAAAAGAAAACCAAAGCTGGTGGCATCACAATTCTGGACATCAAGCTATCTTACAAAGCTGTAATCATCAAGACAGTATGGTACTGGCACAAAAACAGACACATAGATCAATGGAACAGAGGAGAGAACCCAGAAATGGACCCCCAACTCTATGGTCAACTAATCAACAAAGCAGAAAGGAGTATCCAATGGAAAAAGGACAGTCTCTTCAATAAACGGTGCTGGGAAAACTGGACAGCCACATGTACAAGAATTAAACTAGACCTTATACCATACACAGAGATAAACTCAAAATGGATGAAAGACCTCAGTGTAATACAGGAATACATCAAAATCCTAGAGGATAACACAGGCAGCAACCTCTTCGACCTCGGCCACAGCAACTTCTTGCTAGACAGGTCTCCAAAGGCAAGGGAAACAAAAGCAAAAATGAACTGTTGGGACTTCATCAAGATAAAAAGCTTCTGTACAGCAAAGGAAACAAGTCAACAAAACTAAAAGCAACCTATGGAATGGGAGAAGACATTTGCAAATGACATATCAGATAAAGGGCTGGTATCTAAGCTCTATAAAGAACTTACCAAACTCAACACCCAAAATACAAATAATCCAGTCTAGAAATGGGCAGAAGACATGAACAGATATTTCTCCAAAGAAGCCATACAAATGGCCAACAGACACATGAAAAAATGATCCACATCACTCAGCATCAGGGAAATACAAATCAAAACCACAATGAGATACCACCTCACACCAGTCAGAATGGCTAAAATGAACAAGAAAGGACACAACAAATGTTGGTATGGAAGTGGAGAAAGGGGAACCCTCTTACACTGTTGGTGGGAATGCAAGCTGGTACAGCCACTCTGGAAAACAGTATGCAGATTCCTCAAGAAGTTAAAAATAGAGCTACCCTATGACCCAGCAATTCCACTACTAGGTACTTACCCCAAAGATGAATGTAGTGATCCAAAGGGGCAGCTGCACCCCAATGATTATAGCAGCAATGTCCACAATAGCCAAATTGTGGAAACAGCCGAGATGTCCATCGACAGATGAATGAATAAAGATGTGCTATATATACACAATGCAATATTACTCAGTTGTCAGAAAGGATGAATACTTACCATTTATATCGACATGGATGGAACTGGAGGGTATTATGCTGAGTGAAATAAGCAATCAGAGGAAGACAATTATCATATGGTTTCAGTCATATGTGGAATATAAGAAACAGGGCAGAGGATCACAGGGGAAGGGAGGGAAAACTGAATGGAAAGTCATCAGAGAGGGAGACAAACCATGAGAGACTCTTAACTATAGGAAACAAACTGAGGGTTGCTGGAGCAGAGGTGGATGGGGGGATGGGGTAATTGGGTGATGGGCATTAAGGAGGGCATGTGATGTGATGAGCACTGGGTGTTATACGCAACTGATGAAATATTGAACACTACATCTGAAACTAATGATGTTCTATATGTTGGCTAATTAAATCTAAATAAATTTTTAAAAAATGAGCACTGGATATTATATGGAAGTGAGGAGTCTCTAAATTCTACTCCAGAAACTAATATTACACTATATGCTATCTAACTGGAATTTAACTAAAAACTTGAAACAAACAAACAAAAAAGAAACAAAAAGTAATAAAAATTCAATATTAAAGATCAAAAGATAAAAATATATAAAATTTATATGGAATCAATAGCCAAGACAATAGTCAAGACAGTCATGAAGAACAAATTCAAAGGAGTCACACTACAAAATTTAAAGTTATTATAATGCCAAAAAAATGAAGACAGGATATTGGCGTAAGGATATACAAAAAGATCAACAGAACAGACTAGTGAGTTCCATCCAAGACCTGTACATACACATTCAATTGATTTTCAATAAAGCCATCAAAGTAAATCAATTTAAAAAGGAGATTTTTTTCAATATATGGTACTGGAATAACTGGTTATCTACATAGAAAAAAATGGGCCTAAGGACAAAATCTGAAACTATGAAGATTCTAGAAGAAAA